GAAAACCTGGAAATGGGATATTCAACCTAAATTTTTAGAAGGTTCCATAAGAAAAAAATCACCTCAACAGAAATCATTGAAATCAGCAAATTTTGTTTATAAAAAGTGTGCCTTTCTCTAAACTTGTCAAATTTCATTTCATAGGCACTTTAAAAGGTCACATGCAAACAATTGCATAATTGCAGCCTATATAGTTATGTAGCAACATAAAGAGCCAGGCCAATCAGATATAGCAAGCTATGAAATAATAGCAAGGGAATGTCAATGATGGAATGTTTGCTCAAGTGAAAAGAAGTATGCATGAGACTTAGAGACTCTACACTACAGTTGGTCTATTGCCGTCTGTTTGAGGTTTCAGTGGTTTTCTATACTTCACACTGTCGCACAGAGTCACTGAGTCAATATTAAACAAATTGCAAATTTTCTTGATCATTGCGCAGCCATCGGTTTTGTATTTTATTAGACCCAACTAGTTCAGCTATTGTTTGAGTACATCATTTGCAATCCAGAGGTAGCTTATTGCACAGTGGCAAACATATATTTTGCTAAAATATTTTACTTGTACTTTTTGCTAATTATCGTTGTTTCATTTAATTCATAATCTTTCAAAACCAAGTGGAATGTAAATTACAAAGCTGTCAGTAGACCTTTGACACTTCTTTTTTTCTGCATCTCAACTTTCTAGGCCATTCCCTCGGTGGGTATTTTAGCTAAAACAAAACAAACCCCCAGAATGTGTCTCTTTGTCTCTCAAAAACAAATATTTGTCGAAAAACCGAACAATAGCTTGCACAATTTTCATTCACAGAGGTCTTTTATAAGGTGCACTTTCATTAGCCTAATGGCTTCTTCAAAGGAATGGCAGGCTCTCTGTTGTGTTTTTTGACAATTTATGTGACATTTGTTGAGGGGCTGAAGGTGTGACATGGGATAAATCTCGTTTAAGTACAAAAAAACTGGGGAATAACTTAATTCTTTCTTTACTCTGAATTTGAGAACAAATGGCGCAACAAAAGTCTGATTTTTTAATGATGAATGATAAAGGTAGAAGAAAGAAGGCAGATGGTAATTCTTGTTTCTCTACGTTGTGCACTTTTCTGCATTCCTAAATTTGAGTCATTCCATAAGGGGCGAAGGCCTAACTTTTCATCAAAAAGTGGTTTCTAGTAATGTTGCTCATGTAGAAAGATGAAAAGCCGACAAAACTGTTTTTATGCAAGCATGTAGGTTATACAACAAATAATGTGTTCGTAGCATGTTGATTTCATTAGGAGAATCTGAGCTGAGGAAAATAATTTTTGCTGGAATCGTTCCAAGGGGTAACGTGACTCTACAACTAATTTTTGGACGACAAAAAATATTTCGTACTTTAAATATTTGACTATAGAAATTGAAACTTTCTCTAAAAAATAAGGGCGTGGTCCCTAAAAGTTTCTGACCACGCCCTATTTCGCAACAGTCAAAAATATTTTTGGATCCGCGCCGCTATTGCTCCAACTCCTGTGTTGTGGGAGACTTACAGTCCGCCATTACAACTTCTAACTTTTCAAAAAAGGGGGAATTCGTAAATTTATGCAGATGCGAATCTCAGTCCTCTAGTTCTATTAATTACCTGGGCGTTCTCTGTGTAATCAACATTCGCTTTGGTAACCTCTTCCGCAGCATCGTCTGCCATTTTGCTAGATATTTTGATTCCCCATTAACCCACAATGCAATGGAGATGACTAACCTACCCACAATGCAATGAATGTCGTTAACAAATTTTTGTTGAAGATTTCTGTAAGCCTTGAAAGGGAGTTTAGGTTACCTTTAGACGACAAAAGAAACATTTAACCGTCGTATTACTTTCTTTATATGCTTAAATTTTATTGGAAATAGCTCTGTAGCACTTACATGGTCCGATCTGACGCAACAGGTAATATGCAGCGAAGAAAAGACTTGAAAATTGCCGTTGTTTGTTCCAGCAACCAGAACCGCAGTATGGAAGCACACAGCGCAATGAGGTTGATTTTTGACAACTGATTTTGTGGGCAACTGATTTTGTTATATTCAGTTTCTATTTAATACATTGGTTATTATATTTATTGTTTCTTCTGCCATGAATCTTAATTAAAGTTGTTTCACTTCACAGAAAGCGTGGCTTCCAGGTGCAATCGTTTGGTACGGGAACTTACGTTAAGCTTCCCGGACCAGCTCCCGACAAGCCAAATGTTTATACGTTCGGGACAACAACTTACGATGAAATGTATAAGGAACTATATAAAAAAGATGCATACTTGTATCCTTATTTCTGTTTTTCAGTTTCAGGTTTGAAATTTGTCTGAAACTCGGCGTGCAACCCTTTTGTTTACTTTTAGGCCTGAATGTTGACCACCCGTTGCTGGCCTAACTTGAACAAATTTTGATTTAATTGCACTTCCGAGCAGAAAATATATACGGAGTGACACTTTTGATAAGCACTTATGCTTGGAAAGTAGGTAACTGCTTTTAGTCTCAAAACTGTTTTTATGATTTATTAACATAACTTTTTCCAGAATCTAGATTGATCATTCCATGGACTCCGCCTAAGCTTGACGTAATTTGTCAGTTACTGTTGATTTGAATAAAAATGGATATCATGTAATTTTTGGAAAATTTTTAATACAATTAAATTTTTATGAAAGGGTAACTGTGCTGTTAAAGTGAAATTTATGACAATGGCTGATTGGCAAGAGAGTGATCTGTTGCTTCCAATTCAATGCTTTGTTACTAGGACAATATATATGATAATGTTTCACAAATTATTAGTGGAGTTGTAGCCTCATAGCTACCCTTGTTTCAAAGGTCCCTGGGTATTATCTAACAATGGTTGTGTTACTTTTTTAAGAAAGACTTTTATCATAAACATAAATGTGTATGTCATTTTCAAACTGTTGAAGTTATGTCATGTCCATAGATGTCCCCCAGTTGTGTAGCATGTATTCTCGTTTGAAAACAAGGTGTTCCTTTCATTTTATTAATCTTTCATAAATCTGTTTAATTGTGGTTTCAACCGTCTAACTTGCTATAGTTTCAATGTAAAAACCTAAAGCAATATAGAATATGAAGGGGTGGGTGAGGTATTTTCCTCAAGAACAGTCATAATTCTCATCATTGATTTAAGTTTTGTTGTTGATTTAAATCTCATAGTTTTGGAAACACCTTATCAATCTTCTTTGCCCATGTCTATTATCTCATAGTTCAGGACATGTTTTTCTCCATTGTAGCATTGCCCTAGGAATTTTATATATAATCTTCATGTTGATTAATTTTTTTGAAAATGCCAGTTGTCTCTTTTGTAAAACAATAAGCTAACAATTATAAACTTTTCTTATTAAATGGGCTTCTATTGCCTTTTCTGGTACTTAAATGTTTATGGTATACATGTTTTTGGAACATTTAGCAATTTTAATGTATATTATTAATGTATAATATATAAAACATTAAAAAATTATTACTTGTAATGTTTTATAAAAGTGACTAATAATTTTAAATTAATTGTAAATAAAGTGCTACTTCAGTAGAATCTTTCAAGACAAACAAGCGCAGACAAAGGTTTTACTGCAAGAAAAGATCTTGCACCCATTAAACTATATTTATAGCCAGGAAAATGAAGGAATCTTAAAGCTGGCAAAGTAACAGTATTCTTGCAGCTGGATTTCAGCTTCCCAGAGACAATGATCATTTATTGGTTGTCCAGTGAGATGCAGGGAGAAAAGCTCAACACAGTGAATCAAGAGATGGAGGAGTCAAAAACCTGAAGTTTTTTTCTGAGAGATCTCTGGTTAGAAAACTGGAAACTTCCTCAAGTATTTCAACTTTGCATTAAAATATACCTGGATTTAAATGTATTTGGGTTCAAAGTCAAGGAAAGCCTTTCATTGGGATGTATTGGCTACATGATTTCAATTCAATAAACTTTTACAATGGGACTTCATATCAATTTTGGATTTGATAACTGTCATTCATTCTAAGTTGGAACTACAAACATGGAACTATGTTACCACGAACCTATTGTGGAACACTTGAGTGCATATTTTTATGAATTTGAAAGGTAGGGGATATAAAGTTGATATTTTAATCACAAAGGTTTAAACTGTGTTGTTTAAACTTTTATTGATGTTAAAACTATTTGAATTAGCAGTTTGCCCTACAAACCAAAGAGATGCTTTGCAATCTGATGACAAGAAAATAACCCAGTTGTGAATAGGTTCTAACAGTGTGTTTGGTTTGGAAACTTCACATGTAGGGATTTTTTAGAAGAAAGCTTTAGAAAATAACATATGAAGTTCCTCAAGCATGAAACTACCATGAAGTACTGTAATTTTGGCTCGTACCTGTAGTATAAAAGATAACACAACACTGTTGCCTCTTGCCACAGTGGGCAGACATGTACCAGCTCGAGACGACCACTAGGATGCTAAATTAGAAAATATAAGAAATGAGAATCAGGTTAAGAGCTGGGAATGCCTAGGTAATGGGTAATGGAGTCCAAAAAAATAATAACAGCCTGCAAGAATTATTTCAATTGGTGGCTGTCTCCAAACTTGATCTTTGAATTTGAACAAAATTGAATTGTTCATCAGTAGGCAGAAAAACACAAATGTAAGGAATCAACTCCTTTTAATGGTAATGATTCTCCATTGATTGATTGAATATTAAGCTGCTACAATTTTTAATGGATTAAAATGTTTGGGAAATGGAACAAATTGAATTTTGTAAATATTGATTGGCTGTTTGGCATAAAATTTTGAATTCTAAAAATAGAATTTCTTCAAAAAGTTTCAATTCTTCACAACCATACTCAAAAGTCTCTCATCCTTTTTACCGTTGTAAAATGTTTTTGGCATGCACAGAGCCTGGGACTATCCAAAAAGGGATATGTTTCTGTCTTTAATCTGCTTAACGAGTTTGAGGGTGAATGCGAACAATTAGAATTGTTTTTAGACGCCATTAAGTGTATCTGCAATGACTGGAGCATTTGGAGCAACTAAAAATTTTTTGGGGAAGAGGGGCTAAGCATGCAAAAACCCAAGGGAGGTCGCGGTACCTATTAGTCCAACTTGTGAAGCTTTGTCTCCTTCATTACCCAGACCCTTCATTGTCAAAATGATTATCTACACTGCTCACGAATGTCTATCCCGTCCAGGGGTGTAGTGCCAAGTTTTGGTTTGATAATGCCAAATTATAACCAATTTCTACTTTTGTTTTTAGCAACATTATGTGCAAGACCCCCTTTGTTATTTTGGTAGCACTACACTACTGATCCCATCTACAAACTCCCCTTTCTGAAGAGTTAGTGTCTCTATGTCAAAATACAACTTGTCTTCTCGACACCTGTCTGACAACCTGCCAAGTTGTGTGACCTTGGTCTTTTGACTTCATTGACCTTCGATATGCAAGCATTTTCTTGTAAAAGCTTGTATTTACTGAACATAAGGCCGATCACTTGGCAGAAATTGAAGCTAGGGTACTGCTCTATAGTGTCTGCAAGTCAACCTATAGTTTTCGCTGGCTTACTTTATTCCCAGTTTTCAGGGACCCTGGAAGCTAAGAAAAATTCCATGCATTTAAGGGCTGTATAGCGTCACGCAAACGTGCCGTTTGTTGACACTATTATACCATTTCAAGATTTCGTAGTATGAATGTAGCATTACATCTGAGAGGCAAGTTACTCCGTGGAAATATCGTACACCTATAGTATAAAAAAATTGTCTTATTTACGAAACCTTAAAAATCCGTTTGTCTTGGTGTAAAATCTCGTACGCTATTTGCAAGAGGAATCTGCACCTCGATTACAGTATTCTCTCCAATTAGCGGACACCATCGAGCACGAGCAATGTGTCCGCTAATTGGAAATGACCGCTTTTTGGAAAGTTTTGCAATATAAGTCCCAAATTTGAAAATAGACCCAAGTTTTGTATTTAAAAGGTGCAATCAATGGTGGCGTCAGGGGAGGGCTACAGCCCCTCAGTCGGAAGCATCTGGGGAGGGCTATAACCCCTCGTCGGAGAAAGTTATTGAAAAGAGGTTGAATCGTAGAGGTGGCTATGACCTGAGATTCCAGTAATTTACCACTTTCATGGACAAGGAAACTTAGTAAACTGGGCTGTAAAGAAGCTCAAAGCTGTAAAAAACCAACTAGATTGTCAAAAGTCAAAGTGTTTGAAATAGATATTTGAACAAATATTCATTCGTCTCAGTTTTCTGTTCGCTGGCTCCTAACATTTTTGTAATGTCCGCCAAAAAAGGCCAAATTGACTATTTTGTGCAAAAAATATCCGTTAATTAGAGTCTCCGCTTATTAAGTTTCCGCTTTTTAGAAAGTTTTTATTAGACTTTGACCAGAAAACGATCGGAGAAAAATATTTGTCCGCCAATCAGAGCTGTCCGCTTTTTAGAGTGTCCGTTAATTGGAGAGAATACTGTATATAAATGTTTTTTGGCAATATGTTTCTGGCAATAATTTCTGGCGATAAAATGCACCTTTGTTTATGCAGAACTTTGCACAGTATCTTCAGCTGGGTCCCGCTCTGATAATGAAAGCTTGGAATAAATATATCTTCTGTTTTTTTTTAATTCGTCAAAAAAAGATTTCACTCGTTGGTAACCCCGTCCATAGCGTGCAACTCCTAATGAGACTCGAAACTGACTTACCCTGCTACTATTACAACAATACGCACGAAATAGAAGGAACATAAATAAACAGCACTGGTTCTATTAATTACATATTAGCATCCAGTCCTATTTATTACATTAGAGATTGGATGTGTACATATTTTATTTAAGGTTTAATGAACCCGTCACCGTTAAGTGACACTATTTTACCTTTATTCTACTCCTCGAAAGCCGACAATAGTTTAAAGTCGCGCTCTAAAATCGATGAAATGACGAGTTAAAGGCATTTGACATGCATAAGTACAGCGTATCCGAAAATAACTTCGGCCAAATTGATCAGAGCACGCGCGGAAGGAAGGAAATTGAAAAATTGCTCACGTGAAACCACTGTGCGCTGCTGTAGAATTTCGCCGATTTGCAGAAAAGCGAAAACTGTTCACATGTTTTTCTCTGTGCGCAATCTGATTGGCTAACCGCTGGTGATCGAGTGGCTGTAAGCCACTTTTACCTGTGTCGAATGCCTTTAAGACTATAGGTAGTTTTAGCTTCGGGTCAAGGTTGCCAAAATGTCGTGCGACTTAGTAAAACCAAGTTTAATATCAGTAAAAAACGTCTCGAAGTTATTGCTATGACCCGTTTCTATAGATGAATTGTACCTAATAGGTAAATGAGAGTAATGAATAGAATGTTTGATTTCCGAACGAAATATACGACCATGCGAGCTTATACCGCTCTTCTCTGTTCTTATGTAAAAAGTTGAATGCTTGCTAAACTTTCAGTCTGCATTAATATGCATCACCAATACTGCAGTAAAGCCACCATGACCATGAAAATTCCCTTGGTGGGAATTTAAGTAGGCGATCGTTGGTTATTTAAGTAGGCTTCAAAACGGCAATGCAGGAGTAATTCTCAATGTTTTTGTCGTCAGTAAATGTGCCTCAGAACCTATTGTTCACCAAAACGTTTGAAAGATGGGGTTTAAGACGTACTGTGTTTGGAAGAAACTACGAAAATTCATAAACTTAAAACGGGTGACCCGAGTTATGTCGTGAAAAAGGACCTCAGTTAATCCAAGATGAAATAAAACAACCATGTAAAATGGCTACATGTTTGTACAAAACAACTGGTAAATGCAAATTTTGAGCCCACTGATGGCAGATGCCAGGTTGTCACAAACTCATTTGGAATCAAATTTACATCTTTGCAGCTAAGTAATGGAAAAACCTATCCGTCAAGAAGGGTAATTTACATCACTTAACTGACGTGTTCCAAAAGAAGCAACAAAAGGAAGTAGAGGACTTACACAGTGTCGAAGCTTTAGAATTGCAAATATTGGATTCAACCAGCATTTGTAAATGCAAACATTGGATGATCTGCTCAGGAAAACAAAAGTTCACAGCTTTGAATGAATGTCGAGGGATTGTCATTTTCGAGCAATTAAAGTGCAGTTTGGCTATTAAGTTTAAAGACTGTTCTGATAAAATTACTCTATGTGAATGATGTCATGGAATGTACCAGTTTGCTGTAGCCATATTCGCCACCAGAATTTTGTCCAACGCCCGGCTAAAGTTTGGCAACACGGAGTTTACTCGCTAAAATGACTGATGACATTAGCTTTAGTTTATAAGCATTTGATTCAGAATTGCAGGCCTGAAGGTTCTACTGTTACTGATTTGGATTCAGTAGAATTACACCTGTGCGCGAAAAAGTGTCCCTGGATTGTACCCAATCAGAGTAGCTGTACAACAACTCTTTTGGTGATTATCTTCCCAATAATAGTTTGGAAATTTAGATGTAATTGTCACCTCATGATGACTACCATTGTAAAGAAATTGTGACATGAACCCATCATGCCTAAAAGTTCTCTTGAATGGAACGTTTTCATGAAACTGCCCTGCTATTTATGATGCCATTGATGTACGGATAATGTTTTGACATATTGACGAGCTCAATATTCAAGGAGCCAATTGTATAAAGATTTGGGTTTTCGTTTTGGAATTCTACGAAACATTATTCTTCAGTTTATCTGAATATGTTAATGGCTGTCGTTATTCCCTGTCCGGATCCTGGAACCTAAAAACCCGGATTTCTTAGGTTGTCATTTTGTCAGAAAACAAGACTTCGAATATTTTGCAACCCAAGCTTTTGTTGACGGTCGATGTTATTTATAACACAATGAGTACTTGGTGTACGTATTTAACTTTTTTCTTTAGACTCATTAGGACACTTGTGAATCTAGGCCAACGCTATTGTGCTAAAGGGGGGTTTTAAGGTCCCATTTGTCGACGAAGTTAGTGAACCATCCGTCATTTGCCAACAAGTATGAACAATTGCCGACAGAGCTTCCCTAGATTGCAAAAAACTTTGCAATGGAATTTTTTCCTAGTGTGGTTTCAGGTATAGCGAAGGTCCTGTTTGAAAGCTTGGCAATGTATTTTATACCTCGATGAATTCTCTAAAAAAGACCTGCATTGGTAGAGATGTTACAAAAGTTACTGGTGTAAGATCCATGTGCGCCATAAGAATGCAAATTTGTCCTGTATTAAACTTGTTTAGTTTTGGCGGGATGAATTTCAAAACAATCTATTGCAGAATTTACTTGACTGTTCATGAATTATTTTCTTGCCACAACGTCCATGGACCATCGAATAAAGATTGTCGATTCACGTGAACAGAACAAAGCATTGATTTTTTCGACACGTTTTGATCATGAAATGCCTGTATATAACGTAGATTGCATATTTGTATGTTAATTCTTCTAACAAATTGTTAATGCATTTAGAAAATGCTCAGGGTGCAGGTCCCGTTAATGCGTTGTGTAGTAAAGTAAATCAGCTATTTCTTGTGCTTGTGTATTGTTTGTAGTTTTACGTATAGTATTTTCTCGTCTTTCTAATTGAAGCAAGTTATATTTTGCATAATTTGTATGTTTTTTTCAATCAATGTACGGTTGTTTCAAAATACCATCGAAATCCATGCAAATAGGTCAGGGGAACACAAATGTTTAGGATGTGGAATTCTTTGGGGTATACGATTTACAACGAGAATCTACAATCCCGGACAAAAATAGCTGAGACTTTTCAAGAAAAGCTGATACTTTTTCTTTCTTTTGAAAAATACCTTTTTCCATGCCCAAATCAAATGTTAAACGCATGATTTTAAACGAAATAATAGAACTACAAATCCAACATTGATTTGGAGGGAGGGTTCGAATTTACAGAATTTACGTAAAGCAGAAAATTTAAAAAAATTGCAGATACTAGGCCTTCAAATTAGGTAACAATTATTAACGACATTATCAAATTTTGTCTCAACAATTTTGTCCGAGATTGTAGATACTAGACCTTCAAATTACGTAGCAATTAATATCATCTGTTGCTACATGAATATTAGAGACTTAAAGTTTATAGCTGACTAGACTTTTTTACATTGTTTTTAAGGAGAGCCATATTCCTTTGTAGCTACCTAAATCATTTATCTGCTTATCAACGCGTTTATCTTATAGCCTTTCATCTTAATCATCTCTTTTCCGTGCATATTCCTTAACTCAGAATACTCAGATATACCCAAAATGGAATTCTACACATGCTGGACAGAAACAGAAGAATAAAGAAAAGACCAGAGAGATATCAAGACTGTCCAGACGAATTCGATATTGTAGTTACTTGCGAAGAACGTGTTTATGATCAAGTTATTGAAGGCTAGTTTTCTCTTTTTCAGGTTCTGCTGTCGTGAAATATGCCGTTGCCGAGGCTCAACTGCCATCAAGGAAGACAATGATCTTTATAAAGAATCCCCCACCCTCTTCTCCAATCAGATTTTTCTTTCATTTCTAGACCGTCAGGCGATAGCTAGTGAAATTCCTTACAAACAACTTTCAACCAGGTTTGATTCAAAACTGTTTTCTTCCACCATTGTCTTACACAAGGATTCTTTTCTTCATGTCAGTTGTTAATGGCTGAAGGAGTTTCATGATGTTTCTCCTCCAGAGAACTTATTTACCTTCTTATTCCTGTTTTTTCCTACTCTTTGTACTCGACATTTGCTTTGGTTCTGCTGGGTGTGTTTGGTTGTGTCTTTGTTGCTGTGTTTATATTCTTGTTGTAACGATATTCTGATTGCAAGAAGTACTGACTCTTCTTATCTTACTAGCCAGGATCTAACTCTACCGGGAAGGATGTACGCGATTATAGTTCATAGTGCGTATATTGAGCTGGGTCTTACTGATGTATATCCAGTTCGATATATGTGACGTAATCTGCTGTATTAATGAACCCTGTAGAGTCCTGTCAGGATGCTTTCAAACAATTACAGACAATAGCCAAATGGAAAAGCTTCATTTTACGTTAGTAAGTAAGAGTAACTGGCTGATACGACAAATTTTAAAGCCATTACTCTAAATGATTTCCTTTATAATTAAAAATTAAATGTTGACAAATTCACAGCCTTTTTTAAATACGGCACGCCCATATTGAATTTCTGTGGACAAACCCAAAATTGTTTTCATGTTCCATTGCAATATAGCCATTTTGAGATCGGTCTTTTGGGAAAACGACTTTCATCAGTTGACCTCGGAATTCTCCAAATCAGAGTGGTTTGATGAATAATATCGCTAGAAACTCTTTTCATCTCTAAAAAGTCTCATTAAAAATGGACTGGTACAATGGTTGTTATACAGTCAATTCCCGCAAAGAAGAACCTCACTCTATAAGGGCACCATGTCCCGTCAGTCAACCATGCAGAGTTAACGATAGGCCCTATAGCGCATCTATATTTGGGAAAACATTGTTGCTGTATTGACAGAGCCCGATCGTCGTTTCATCTAGCACTTTGGAATCTATCTACATAAGCATGAAAAACATCTTTTGTGTAGAAAGAAGAGTTTGTTCCTACCTAGGTAACATTTTCAATAGGCAAGCGGCACTGATGGGGCAACCTCAACAGTCATGTGCTCGCGTTTCTAATTGGTCGATTTCGATCCACAACTGGGTATATATATTTCCTAGCTTAGTGTTTTGGTCTATGTTCTGACGTTTTATACTCTGAAGAGTGTCAGACGATAAGCTTTAGTATAACTCAAAATGTTTGCTTTTTTCAAAGCCATTTTTAACAATAGGTCTATTGTATAGTCCAACCAATGGGAAGTTTAAATGGCCATCGATATGCGGTGGGACATAGTGCCTTAGATCTTAATACAGCTCTTTTCCTTGTTTCAAAGTTGCATATGGAAAAATCAAGACCAGAGTTGTTCACTTTAGGTTCTTATTTAAAATGTATATTATAATTTTGATTTGATTTGTAATAACTGGCAATAGGGGTAGAATCGTAGTGAAAACAGATGGTTCAATAAAAGTGCAAGGGTTTTACTAATAGCCTCGTGAATTTTCATACTAAAATAGGTTTATTGTACACAGTGATCAAACTAAATATGACAGCAAGCAGGCTCTTGCAAACAAAGGTTCTTATTTGCGAGGATTTTCTGTATTTGAGTGCAAGTTGATGGTCCAATAAAACAGCCTAAATATAGAAGCAAAAAACGTTCATTTATGGGCTTATCAAAACGAGCTGCCTTTTCAAAAGAACGTCAACGTCACCAATTTATTTGGCTTCTGAACTGAAAGGCCTGTCGATATTATATTCTTATCTTACCGATTTACCAAACCATAACACAGTTTAGGCTTATGGTTTAAATTTCATTGTTACTGGATATGTGGCTCGCATATTTTGAAATATCGCATGATTGCTTGTTGTTACAAAATATTTAAAAAATCGATTTAAAGTATCGATTCTATAGATGTGTGGACAGAAATCAACGGCTGAGAAAGTAGAACAATAAGCAAAATATCCTGCAAAATTTAATAAGCGTAGTAGATACAAGGTACAGTGCCGTTGTGCAGAGTTTACAACTTCCTTGTATTTTTAAATTTTGCCAACAGGGCAAGGTAACGTAGGGATAACTGAGCCCATTCATATAATGAAAGTTATAAGGTCTATCAAATCAAAAACCAGCTCAATATTTCAGCAATTGATTCAATATTTCAAAGCCGTTGTGACCTGTGGCTGTTTCATTTAGTGCCACGGTGTTTAACAAAAAACCTTCCCTGTTTAGATAAGATGAAATTGAGGTATTTTGTTTCTCAGTAAAAATTTGTTCAAGTGTTACAAATTCGTACCCACTAGAGATATTGTTTTATTGATGGTTCCGGGACTATCCCTGTTAGAATATTCTTTATCATATATTCTTAATGATATTTTTATCATTTCTCTTGATTGTTTTGTTTCCTAATCATGTTAATTCATATTATTTTCGACTGCTTTGAATTGCGAACCATTTAATGGATATTAGGTTAAAATAATTAGCATTTGTTCGTAGTTTATCAAGGCAACCAAGCGAGAAAAGAAGCAGGTTGGGTCACCTGTAAGTGACTATTTTAGAATCTGGTATTTGTTGGGGAGACGAGCGAGCCAACGTCATTCAATCAGTGTGGCAACCCTCAGATAACAAGAGTGATAATAGCTTCGTTCCGTGCGCATGCTCTTTGCCTCCACTACGGAATTTCGCCTCACTCATGTAAAAACTTTTTCTTGTTCGTCTCCCCGATAAGTATATGGGGTTAATCTAGAAGAAGATCTTTTGAAAATTGAAGAGTGAATGTAACTCGTAATGGCTGCTAGGAGGTGAATCCTGTCCAAATCTAGTCGCATTTGACTGGAGCTGGGCCAACCCTTGGTGATAAGGCACATAAAGGTTTTTTCTTGGGGTGTAAACTTTTATATCCCTCCTTCTACACGTGCTTTTTATCTGGGAGACGTGATCACTGAGACGACAATTTAAAATGCTTTCCAGGCAATCAGCTTATTGAGGTTCGACTATCTCTTTGTTGGATATAGAATGGAATTTCTGCTGAAAAAGGCACTTTGTGAATTATACTAAATAAGTTAGCGCTTAACTAACATCATAAAGCCTAGTTGGTTTTATGTCGCTAGTTCTTGCACACAAAATATTCTTTTGCTTATTATGAATTCAAAACAATGTCATGGCAGGTCTGGAGAAAGGCTATATCAATGACCTGGTTGTCGTGACAGAGATTCGACAATTATCATCTGTGTATCAAATGTTATTGAAAATGATGAAATGGTTGATATAAAGGCCATCGATCTATAAAATTGTTCCTTGAAGACATTAGATGCATTTGCATCTCAAAATCATTTAGTGAACTTGCCCATGATGCGATATTGATCAGTAATTTTTCAAGCACACTGTATATATATTCACCAAATTTCCTTATGTTTTAAAATGTTTTAATGGCAGCATTTAAAACCCCTGTGTCACTGTAGCAGTGAATTATGTAAATTAGACGTGGTCCTGTATTTTTCGCCCAAATTTTTCCATAAGACGTGAATAGCTTACCAGTTTTGGATGAAGCTCTTCGTCGTGTCTTTTTCTACAATAAAGTATGAATTTTTGCCTTGTTTGTTTGGTTTCGTGGAAAGATTTCCTTAAAAGAATCTTGAACGTAGTCGCTACTGTTTTGATTCGAGAATACATGTGGCACTTGTCTTGTTGAGTCACTTGCATTTGGCTATGATCTCATACTAGATAATAACTCATTTCTGTTTGCATGCTCTCGTTGTCCTACTTAATAACGGGACAGAGCATGCGCGATAATTGTCCAGTAAAATGCACATGCATTTTGACGCCATCTTGATGTGTATGATACAGGATACTTTCATTCGCTCATCCCAACAATAGCTAAATCTGTCTTCATAGTAATGGTATCTCTGTCGGTCACTTCATTTCGATTACTCATACAAATTTTCAAATCGGTTATATTCCACAATTGCTTTCTTTGCGCATCAAGTTTGCTGATAACCATTTACAATTCTCTTTAGAATTTCGTACTGGTATCATGAATCATAATTAGGTACGCCGTTTTTGAACGCATGTAATTATCTGACTACCTAATATCGGGGCAGTGTCAGGCTAAACTGCATCCATATGCATTTCAAAATTTCCACTATTTTCCATATCCTTTAATGCTGTCTTAAATGGAAAACACTCCCCAACCGAAGCTTTTGCCGGGTGGGGGATACAATTCTTAGACATGGTGCTTCAATTACTGACAGATCTAGTGATTGCGTGTTACAATTCGCCCTTCTCCCAAATCGATGGGTATCCTTTGCTTGTACCATCTAATATTCTCTTACTTCCTATTCATCTAATTCTCCAAAAACCTTTTCCTTTTTACATCACGGCTGATAGAAAATATCTTTATATGATCATCCGTATTGTCTTCCTTGATGGCTGTTTGAGCTTATATTATTTCTTCGTTAAAAATCAATTTTTTAAATAGAAACCCATATCTCCGACAGGAAAAAGATACTTTTTTCTGTTAAAGAAAAGGGTTGACGTATGTTTAAATATAGAGAATAAAAGTGGTAAACTTGATCACATAAGTGCATGCTATAAGACGCCTAGTGTTAAGTTAATAAGGAAGTTCCTAGTTTACAAAAAAACTGCAAAATGCTCTATATACGTAGGGTGTGTTGTCTGAAAGGTTAAGTTACAGTAGGACATCCTTGACAAACTTTTTTATGTTCGTTATAAAACGCTGTTGAGTAGCTGAACCTTTTGCAACCTTTATTTATAAGGCACATATTGAAAGAGAAACATTTTTCGCTTTTTCTCTTATGTATTGGCATATTCATTCCAATACTAATTCAAGAAGAGAATTAATGTGAGATCTAATTTTCTGTTAAGCCCACATTTCTGATGACATTTATTTATTCAATCCACAGATATGTCAAAGAGAGAGCAGCATTCTTTTACTCCAGTCCATATTATCAACATTGAAATAGCTGATAATCATGAAGAGGCTACAATTGGAGCAGGACAAATCGTCGAGCTTTGCGAAATAGTAAGTGCTTTTTGAGCTGCTATTTTTTCCGTTAATTTATCACAAAGTACAACCTAAGCATCTAAGATCACATATAATCTATCTGAACCCGATAAATCATAAGGCTTTCATTGAAAAAGAGCATTGTCCCCTAAAGATTCTATTTCTACCAGACAACCCTATTGCACCGGTATAGCACCCTCTAAATAAATATTATCCATATTCTAAATCTTAAAAGATAGATTGCTAGGGACTGCCAACCAAATTGACTATCAATATACTCCTTTAGACAGGAACCCTCTGGAAAAACCTTTGACATTGCAAGTCCTATATGTACCTTTAGAAATGATCCCAAAACAGTCGGATTCTTGAAAATTTTTCAAAAACGTCAAAACAGTCGGAGCTCTTTTTTAATGGGATATAAATATGCCCATACCCTTTTGCACCTCGGTATATTTAAATCAACCCTTGTTTTTTTCATTATGCCATGGCAAGATTATGAATTATGATGTTCTAAGTTGACACTTTCGTGGTTGGTAAAATGGGCTCTTGACCGGTGATATTTCTTTCGAATGTTTTTCTAATTACAAGACCTTCAAACTTAGTATTGCACTGTCGATCATCATTCTAAGATTTCATAATAATAATAATGAATAATAATTAAACCATAGACAGGTAAACTTGTTCAGCAATATTTTTGCTGCCATCAACCAAGGACCTGTTAACCTAGATGTTCTAAAATAGTCTAAATATGTTTCAAAAATATATTCACAATATGTTTTACAAAGTCCTTGCAGAAGCTCTTGAATTTTAGAATTGATGTTTTGTGTTCCTTTCGGATTTTATTGAATATTTTTGCACCCTGGAAGGCAAACGTTTTCCGTCCTGCTTTAGATCTCACTTTTGGAAGCAATAAACTGTGTTCGTTTCCACGAGTTGCTTTACCATGTTTAATTTTCTGAAAGTACGTCATAAAGTCAGGCGGTGCAAGGCTGTTGAAATGTCAGCTCATTCTGGCAAGGCATTTTGTTAAAATATCGACCTGGAAAAATTCATACCTCCAGTTTTACTTTAGAAAAGCTTTTTTTATCACACCGTTTATCTTACTGTACCTGCAATCATGACCTTTCTTACTCACTATTTTATCTTCATTTGTTTTAGCTTGAAGAATTGGATGATATGGAACACAATCTCGATGAAATATTACAAGCTTTTGAAGAAAAGATTGGACGACACATATTGCACACTGTTGCCTTTTATTGAATTAATCCTTAGACAAACAGTTTTTTATCGATTAAAGCCCATTGATTTCCTTACTATTCATAGTAAGGTCACTGGGATGATGTAATTTCTTTAAGAATGAAGAGTTCATCTAAGTGTTTTGCAGAATAGCGCAAATATTACCTCGAACAAATTCGAGTAGTGACCCAAACTCTCCACCTCAACCGACTGTTCGTTAAACCCCTTAAACACTTCTTATGGTATATTTGAATTTCTGATTCGCGGAATATAGTAATGCATTAAGAAGTGGAATTTGTAAATACTGCCTATGGTTAATCATGGGCTCCGACACAGGCTGGAAAGTGGGAGGGGGGGGTAGAAAAAATTTAACACCAATAACAAAAGATATGAAAAAAGCTCTATTGATTTGTAAAAAACTGGGGAAGCATTGTCCCTCGCCCCCCCCCTTTTCGTCGGAGGCCCTGTTAAGTGAAAGGATAGAAGCTGTATTTACGTAGCAGCTTTACAATCCTTCGCCTTTTATTCAGTTATGAATAGATACCTTTTGTGCCACATTGTCAAGAACGAAGCTGCTTGGGTTTTACCTTCGTTTTGTGTCGCTTTTTCATGTTTGTCCGTGAACAGCTTTTCACAACAGGCAATCGTCTGTAAATGAAAACTGTGACTGAAACTGTACAAATCTTGTAAATGTGTCTTCATCTTTTGCATTAACTAGAATAGTTTCATTTCTAAATTTAAAGTACTGTTTTGTAATAGGCATTCTATGTAAGATGTATTTAGACCCAAGGCAGTATCGTTAGTACCTCTATTGTTAATATGATCTTAGATTAACAAGGATATTACGACGTATTTGTTTTCTATTCAAAATAAGTTTCAAACTAACTTGGAAATCTGAGATGAATGACGGAAAGAAGTTTGCAGTTTCTGTTTTTAACCTTCTACTCAAATTGGTATGCAGGAGGCAGTTTTAATTGTTAAAGGACGATTGTAAAACGTAGCAATAGCCTATTTACATTATCCAAACATAGGAAATTAGATAGTATCAGGATTCTTCGGAACTTAGTGCCTGTAAGACTAGAAGGGGATTTCCCTTTTTGATCTCATGATAATGTCAGCAATTTTGAAACACTGTACCCTCAGCTACTCTTGCAAATAGAATCTAGGTGATACAACCCTTGCCATACAAATGCTACAAGAATATATATAGGAGACAAGTTCAATCCCTGTTAAAAGAAGGGTATTTCAGATGGTTTGTAACCAGGATATCACTAGGAATTTCAAGATTTAAGCTTCCTTTAAACAGGCTATACCTTTTTGCCATTTTTTCTCCAGTCGTAAAGGATCTAGGCCTTCCATTGATCTGATTGTTGAACTGTATGTTCATTTGGTCTAGTAACACCATATCCAAATCTTTATTACCGTTAAAGTTCCTGGGGCTGTGAGGGTGACCGTGTCAAAAGCTCAATAGCTTGCAACTACTCCATTTTGCCCTTAGAGTCCATTGATTCGAACAGTAAAATAGAGTATATATGAAAAGAATGTAAGTTTATACAGTTCAATTTGAAAATGACTCTGAGAAAAGCTAATATTTTACAGCATGCTCAAAGCTTTTTCGTCTAATGCCCCTCGGAGAATAAAACGTCAGAATAAGATTCCAAAAGAACAAGCTGGAAAGCATATACCCACTTGACGATCGAAATAGACCAATCACAAAAACGCGTGCACATAAGCAGTATAGTTTTCCAATCAGTACCGCATGCCTACAGAAAAATTACGTAAAAGAATTCTGTAAAATTATTGTTTTTTTCAAAGCCATTTTCAATTTCTTTACCGCCAAAAAATTGTTCACAGTTTTGTTTATTGTTCAACTACATTCTCTATTTCCAGCACAATGACCGACAGGAGCTTTAGTACGAAATTTACCTGACTATTATTCTGCATGAAAATTATGTTGGACATCATGAACTTCGATGAAAAAAGCAGATCTTCAGGTGCTCTGGGAAGATATGAGGAATATAAGTTGCAGCCCGGGGGTTTTTGCCTCTGCGGAGGAGACCCAAGTCAAGCTTCAATCTGAACTATTATGTATTCTAAAGGAGATTACAAGACAAAGAATTTTACAGATAAATCGACTGTTTGGTTCTCTGCTAAATACCACCTAAAAGGACTTGTAACCATGTGACAAAAATTAACCCTTTTCCATACCTAGAAATTTATTTTACTTTCGTCTAAACATGCCAACTGCTGTGCAAATGTAATCTGAAACACATTTGTTGGTATATTCAACATTCGAATAAAGAAGCTAGCCGAAATAGCCACATAGACATTCAAATGTTTACTCACACAGTGAAGAAATGCGCCCTGTCTCTTTGGAATCTTGTGATTCATCAAGATCGTAAGTATCAGCATCCTTTCTTAAAGCATAACTCTCTTGCTCACTTTTATTCTGATTAAGGGACCATCAAGATTCATTTGGATCTCTGCAATGCTTTCTTGTAACGCTTTATTCGCCCATCGCAAATTTGTTGTCTAGCTCGGAGCAGGAGAATGTTTGAACTTCAGCTTAGATGTTCGGCTCCGTCTCAATTCTACTTTCAACTCCGTCTCGTTCCTATCGATAGAAACTTAAAGAGTTGTTAAACATAATAGAATAATAATATATGAACAAATTTATTTGACATCTATCACACCATCTATCACTTTAATGTTCCCCTCTTTTACCTAGTCATTGTTATATCTGTATGGTGTCAGCAATTTCACTAGTTGATTTAGTTTCACTAGTTTTTTCAAGTGTTTTTCATTTGAAATTTGGACTGTTTTAGCTATTTGGACTAGAGTTATTGAAAACGAAACATTTCCATCATATACTTTCTTGTTGGACAAGATATTGTCACAGTTGATTTAATTCTATAAATAATAAGTTTAGATTTAAAAGGGTCATTTACGTTAAACTGCGAAGGAGCTTTTAGGCAACTGCTGGTGATTCGTCAGTTACTGCCCTTCGCATGCTCGTGAAGAAGAATTTGGATTGAAGTTTAGAATCTCAACTCAAAGTGCTACGAAGCAGATGCTAAAAGTCCTCTGATTTCGTAAAGAAATTTCTGAGAGAGGTAAGTGGTTGCATTTTAAAATACTGGCGGTGACCTTTTGGCGCGCATGTTTTTCTGAAGCTTCTTCAACATGGTGGAAACAAAGATGGCCCAACATGGCAGCCGCGGTTGACATGAAATTGTTTCTGTTAGTTATTCCTGTTTTGTGGGGTTGGCAAATATGAATCATATTTCGTGGCCAAAATATGTCAAATGATGTATTCTTTAAATTTTTTAAAGGTCAAATATAAAAATAGGCTAGCATTTTTCCGTTTTACGGATAACAACTGTTTTGTTGTCTTCATGATGGCGGTGCGGGAAGACGGGTGCCATCTTTGTTTGATTCTCTCCGCGCTGCGAGAGTCGAAGAAAATTGAGCCACAACGAATGAAATTTTCGTTTTTGAGTAGGATTTCGCCTCATAAACAGCATATAAATTTCAGTTGAAAAAATTAGATGGTATCGTCTGCATTATTTTTTTCCAAGATTTTTAGACAATCGTTGATTCATTCGGATCCTTGAGTTTTTCAAATGTGACCGAATGAAATTATTTAAAATCTGCACTTCGCATGCACTTGAAGCAAGTGTGGTTGGAAAGAATTGAAAGATCCAAAGTTTTTATTTATCTTTTGCTACTTATTCATAGCAAATTTTGACTTAAAAAATATGGACTAGAAGTATATAAAAGTTGCAACTTTCAAAAATCTGGGATCCTTTTTCTTTAAATATGGTAGATCTCAAGATGCATGTATAATTTTAGCGTATATGTTGAAAATTATGAGTGTACTCATTGTTTGAGTGCACAGAAACATCCTTCTTGATATGATAATTTTCAGAAATTTTATTAGCACACAGTTTATAGTCTTATTTGATACAAAATCTGGGAAGTTTTTCTAGATGTGTATTTTGATAAAGGTAAGCCTACATTCCATGAGAATGAGTTTTTCATCTGGAAAGCAAAATTAAGAAATTTACCGAGTATTCACATTTGACAAGACTCTTGTGCATAGGCAGGCATTTCAGACACAATTTCCCATTTGCAAACCTCATCTTTACACAAGAAATAAATGCCCTTAAAATGATTAGTTTTATGGCAGGCAATAATGTTTTCTGTAATAGAGTCTAAATTGTAAGTTTGATTTGCATCTTCAGTTTTTTTTCTTTGCAGTGCTAGTAAACTGTCCACATTTGGGCAAAACCTTATTTTGTGCAAACTTGGTCAAGCTTCTGTAGTATTTTTTATAAGATTTTATGGAAAATCATGGTGATCAAATAAGAGAAGTTTTGTCTATAAATTATATATATATATATCTAGCCCAGAAATCCTAAGTTCTAGCTGTTGGTTTAGACCTCTGTTTAAATTAAAGATCCTCTTGCAATGAAACAGCATTGCAAAGATGTTGAAATTTGTCTAAATGGCTGGTAATAGGACCAGGTTTTTCAATTTTTGTGCCCTGCATATATCAATATGTACTTTGTCAAAAATAGTATTAATTTTTAAGAAATTCATGGTAGCAATTAATTCAAAAGCAAATTTGAAAAGCAAATGGTTTTGAAAAAGAATTCAGATATTCATAGATGTGAGAAAGAACAGTTGTCAATGAATAATAACGTTCCATGAAAATATGGTTGGACACCTTTAACAAATGAATAATGCAAAGGTCAGACTCCATGGTTTTAGAGAGTTTTCAGCTTATTGTTTATGCTTTATGCAAAATATACATTGAAATAATTTTTCATTTTCCAGTCAAACTTGTTTTGACAAAATTCATTTTGTGCCAATGCAACTGTTTATGCATTTTTTATGAAGTTCAACAAATATTCAGCTCAAAATCCATCTCTGTTAATAAAAAGTATGCAAATTTGGTCTCTTTTTTTATTGTCATTTGAAGTGTAGCCATATCTATTAACTGTTTATTGAACATTTCAAAAAGAGTATTGAAATAGCATAAGAAAGATTGCTAGTCACAAACATTTTGTTTTAGTGGAAGAAAGCAATGTAACTAATGGTTCTTGGATAGTTTTAAGGATATGATCGTTCCTTTCATTTGTCTTTTGAGACAAATCAAATGCAAGTCTTTGTCCCATGAGTCAGCCAGGCCTTGCACGGAAAGGCTCTGGAGCTTGATCCAGGGCCTCTACATGCACCTAGAAAGTTCTAGACACAAGCACCCAAAACTCAATGCAAGGAAATTGATAAACAGATATTGTCACACCCACTCTTTTTTCAATCTTCAAACTTTCCCCTTTTCCTAATTTCCAGAGTGCACACCCAGGCTATATACATTTCCAATTACCTCTTTATTTCCCAAATGGAGCCAAGCAAATAACTATTTCATTGGATTGGTGCATGAGATTTGCATAATCCACAAGATGTTGTAATTGCAATTGGGAATGGAAACTAAAAAGGGTCTACCAAGTAAATCAAATTGGCCTATCCCTTTTGTGTATATCAATTTGAG